TGAGGGCAGGCTGGGGGAGGGAGGTGCCACAGGCGGTGGGCAGTGCAGCATCAGCCTTGGGGCGCTGGGTGCTGAGAGCAGGCAGGTGCCAGCTCTGGGGTCCCGGGCACCCTGAGGAGTTTAGGGAGTGATCGTGGGTTTTTCTTACATAGAAATTTTATTTTGATACAATTCATATTACCATAAAATTCACCTCTTTAAATTGTACATTTAGTGACTTTTTTTTTTTTTAGTATTTTCACAGAATTGTGTAACCCTCACCACAGTCGACTTTAGAACATGTTCATCACCTCAGAAAGAAGCCCCGTAGCCATTAGCAGTCACTCTCCATTCGCCGCTCTCACCAGCCCCTGGCAACCCCTCAGCAACTTTCTGTCTCTCTAGATGTGCCCCGTCTACCCATTTTCATATAAATGGAAGCATGCACCGTGTGGCCTTTGTGTCTAGCTTCTTTCACCAAGCACGATGCTTTCAAGGTTCATCCATGTTGTAGCGTGTATCAATACTTCGTTCCTTTTTATGGCTGAATAATATTCCATTGTATGCCATTGTGTATTTTCAAAGGACACAAAAAAAGTTGGCGCTTTGGAAAGCTGGCTCTGGAGGGTGGGCTGCAGGAGGCCAGATGGCCGTGAGAGGCTCAGGAGTGGGCAGAAGGGGCTTTCCGGATGCCCGCAGAGCGGGGGGCGGCTGAGGAGAGCCAGGGACAGGCCCTGCTGAGGAGGGAAGGCCTGGCAATTGATTGGCCACAGGGGGTGAGGGAGAGGAGGAGGCCCCCAGGGCTCCTGGTGACCAGGTGGAGAGCAACGCCATTTCCCAAGACCAACGGGCGGGTTTTATGAAGCCCAAAAATACAGAAAGTACAGAGTGTCCCGCAGGAGGGCTGAGGGGCGGCCAGGCAGGAAGCCTGCTGATGGAGGCAGAGTGGGGCGTCAGAGAGGGGGACCGGGACATGGCGATGCAGGGAGGCCAGCCGGGAAGGCGGTCCAGATGGAGGGGCTGGCACAGTGCGGAGCGGAGAGCGGGCAGCCACCCACCGGCCAGGCCCACGGAACTGCCAGCAGATGGGAGAGGCGTGCTAAAGCTGGGCAGGCTCTCACCTGGGAGGGAGCCAGGAGGATCCCAGTCTTGGGACCAAAGCCTTTGGCCTCTAGCATGTGGCCCTCACGGGATCCCCATGGCCCCATTCCACCGCAGAGCACATTGAGGCTCAGAGAGGTCAACCACGCAGCTAGAGCCAGGGCTGCAGCCCGTGTGTCTGGACGGCACATTGCCGAGAGGTCGAGATGGCAAGGCTCTCCCTTCATCCATCCAGCAGAGGAAGGCTGGTGCCTAAGAGGGAGGGCGGGCAGGGTCTCCAGGGCCAGTGCAGCAAAGCGCAGCAAGCCCTGGACGGGCACCCTGAGCAGAAGCCGCCAGTCCCTGCCCAGCACGCGTGGCTCATCGGCGCAGTGCAGAACAGTGTGGCGGTTAGGGGTGTGACCTCCGCAGTCAGACCACCCGGCACTGCCCCGTAAGCCCACATCCTCGGAAAACCACTTCACCTCTCTGCTTTCTTTCCCTCATCGGAAAATACTACCTCTGATGTAGGGCTGGGTGGGGTTTGGATCAGTTCCTATGGGTTAAGTCCTTTGAAGAGGGCCAGCATTTAATGAGTACTCAATAAATGCTGTGCGTTTCACACTCACGCTCCGGAGCCCTGGTCTCCCCTCTGCGTGACGGATGAGGCACCTCCTGCCACCCTCCTCACTGGTGTCGCTGTGGCCTGGCAGGTTGCTTCAAGGTACGGTCTTTCCCTTGTTCGGCATCTCCTCAAGAACTGGGCTGAACCTGGTTCTTCTCCAAGATCCAGGCAGGGCCTGGTCAGGGTGGCACCGGCCAGGGCTGCAGAATCAGGGGGGTTGCCACCTTCTGGAAGCTCCCCTGCCAGAGGCAGGAAAAGCAGGACCCCAGGGGGAGTGAGGGTGCTGTGTTTTAGCACCCCTGGGGGAAACGCCCTTTGCTTCATCACGGAGACTTCCCTGAGATTGGAACTGCAACCCCTCTCTGACCCTGGGCCAGGCACTGTTCATCACATGCAATCCTTCATGGCTACTTTCAGAGGTAGACACTCTCTTACCAAGGAGAAAACTGTAGTTCAGAGAGGCTGAACCACCTCTCTGAGGTCACCCAGCAGATTGGTGCTTGAACCAGATACAGCTTACTAATGCCAGGAATTGTTTAGGCAGTTTTGCCTGAATTGACCCAGGTAATCCTCACAACAACTCCAGGAGGTAGATGCTATTGCCCCATTTTACAGATGGGGAAACAAGCATCTGGCTCCAGGCCAGAAGGCAGGCACAGGCGGAGCCGGGGTTTGCTCAGCAGCCTGCACAGTAAGCTCCGCTCCTCCCTGCCTTTCGGCCTGTATGGTCCCCAAAGCCCAGGCCCTTTCCGCTTCAGCAGGCGGCTTCGGGGAGTATGTGTGGACCAGCTGCTCAGCTCCAGGCTCTGTGCTAGGCACAGGGGACGGATCCGTGGGTCAGACATGGCTTAGTCTTGGGAGCCAAGAACAAGGCCAAGAGAGTCCCCTTGTGAGTGATTATGACAGGAGTAAAGCACCCTGAACTCAAGTCATGTAAGGTGGTGATCCCCAATGTTTTTGGCACCAGGGACCGGTTTTGTGGAGGACAAATTTTCCACAGACCAGAGAAGGGGTGATGGTTGTGGGGTGATTCAATTACATTTATTGTGCACTCTATTTCTATCGTAATTACATTTTGATATATAATGAAATAATTGTGTGTGTGTGTGTGTCCGACTCTTTTTGACCCCATGGACTGTAACCAGCCAGGCTCCCCTGTCTGCAGGATTTCCCAGGCAAGGGTACTGGAGTGGATTACCATGCCCTCCTCCAGGGGATCTTCCCAACCCAGGGATTGAGCCCTCATCTCCTGTATTGCAGGCAGATTCTTTACTGCTGAACCACCAGGGAAGCCCCCGAAATAATTATACAACTCGCCATAATGCAGAATCAGTGGGAGCCCTGAGCTTGTTTTCCTGCAACTAGATGGTTGCGTCCGGGGTGACGGGAGACAGTGACACCCAGAGTATGTCCGGTCTGCTCCATCATCTTGTTTGGTTAATGTCATTGCAGAAAACCCTGCTTCACACAGATGGGATGTTGGAAATGGAAGCAGGCTTTTCAGTGCTTTTTTGGCCATCTCAGGATATTCCAACTTGACTTGAATCCAGAATGTGTGGAGATTTAAAGTTGTCTCAAACATACTTTTAAGGCCACAGTCATGTGCCTTGTAAGCACATGGGGAGCGGCTGTACATACAGATAAAGCTTTGCTCCCTCACCTACTGCTCACCTCCTGCCATGCAGCCCGCTTCCTAACAGGCCGCAGACGGGTCCCAGCCCATGGCATGGAGCTTAGGGAACCATGTAAGACTAAGGAGAGCCGCGTCTCTGAGGGGTCTGGGAGGAAAGAAAGTTGCTAAGACTTAGACTGGACTGGAAAAATGATTCAGGGAAATCTATGTGAGCCATTTATAATGTATGAGGAAACTAATGCTCAGAGAGGTAGAGTTACTTGCCAAAGGTCACACAGAACATGGGCATGGAATGCAATCCACATTTCATCCCCAGGAAGAGCTTGCCCATTGCAAAGCTCTTCCTGGTCCACCTCTCACTTACCCCTTGCTTGACCCCTGACCTGAGGCACCATAGGAGAGCTGAGATTATGAACCCCAGAATGCAGAAGAAACTGAGGCCAAGAAATGGGCAGGACCTAGACCCCAGACCTCCTGATTTCCAGTCCAGGGTCAGGAGGAGGGTGGGGGGCTGGGTTTGCACATAGGAACACACAGGAGTGGACACCTCTTGAAGAATCTAAGCGCTGAGCGTTAGGCCCTGAATCCAAATCCTAAACATGCCCCCAGAGCAGGGAAGAATGCCGAAACCCCAGGGGAAAACCCAGCTTGTTGAATGCCCACCAAGTGCAAACACTGCCCTCCTCAGGCTGTCCCTGGTACTGCAAGTCCTCTTTACTAAATAGATCAAACACCTGCTGTAACAGCTACTATTCATTGGACATCTATACTGTGCAAGGCCTCGGGCCATGTGCCTCGCATATTTATGCCAAATGTTCACAATGGCCTTCAGAAATGGGACTTGGCATAATTTTGCTTTTCCAGTGGCTCAGCGGTAAAGAATCCACGTGCATTGCAGGAGATTCAGGAGTCATGGTTTCGATCCCTGGGTTGGAAAGATCCCCTGGAAAAGGAAATGGGAAACCACTCCAGTATTCTTGCTAGAAAAATCTCATGGCCTGACAGGCTACAGCCCATTGGGTCACAAAGAGTTGGGTATGACTAAGCGTGCACACATACACTCACACATCATGATTTTACTAAAAAAGAAAACAAGTCTCAGAATGGATAAACTATTTGTCTGGGCCACACAGCTAGAAAAAGGGCCAAACCGGAACTCAGACTCAGGTCTGTCTGCTTCCCAAGCCAGCCTTCTTTCCTGCTCTCCCACATCACCTCTCTACATGCCCTGTGCTGGGCTAGGACTTTTCTCCTGCAATGTTATCCTCACAATCACCTAGAACCCAGGAATCTAGGTACAAGAATCAGAGCCCAGCCAGCCATTAGTCAACAAGCCTGGACCATGGGCACTGCCCTAGGCTTCGTCACAGTCTTCAGACTAGGTCGGGATTGGTCCTAGAAGCTGTGGTACAGCCCACCAGCAAGAGGAAGGGATGGTTGCTAGGGGCCCCAGCTGAACTCACAGACAGCTTCAGAGACGAACTCCAGCTTCAGGGGAACCTTCTGGGCACAGCTGGGACTGCCATGTTGGGGCCTGGAGACCCTCAAGAGCTTTCAGAGGTGAAGTTCCCCATCAGTGAAGGCCACTGTGTGGCCCCTCTGGGACGTTGCATGGTCCTTCCGTGGCTTGTGGCCTGAGTTCTCATTTGGTGTCCCCAGTGACTCTCCTTGTCTTCTCTCCAGGTTGCCCATCTGGAACCTTCAAGGCCAACCAAGGGGATGAGGCCTGTACCCACTGCCCCATCAACAGCCGGACCACTTCAGAAGGGGCCACCAACTGCGTCTGCCGCAACGGCTACTACAGAGCAGACCTGGACCCCGTGGACATGCCCTGCACAAGTACGTCCAGGGCCCCCAGAGGGGGACGCACGGCCGAGTCCCAAGTCCACCTGCAGGAACTCTCGGGGGGGGGGGGCTGTCCGGCTCCAGTAACCTTTCCTAAGTGAGGGGCAGCCAGGTACCTGGTGGGAGGGGAAATGGAAAACTGGCTAGAAAGGACCATCCTGGGGTGGTTGTGCTGCCAACCACAGACACTGCAGAGCTGGCATCTGGCTCCTTACCCCCTTCTGCTAAGTCACACGCAGGATGAAGTCAAGGTCTTGACTCACAAAGGGACAGAGAATGGAAAGCTTGGCAGAAGAAGAACCAACACAGGTGGTGTCTGTGGTAGAAAAGGCTTCCCAGTGTTCTTTTCTGGCAGCGGTTGCCTGAATCACAGGCCAAGGTTCTCCAAGAACAGGGTGACTGCAAGGGCCATGTCACAGCCCTGTATCAGACAGGAAAGGCAGTCAGCTGCCAGTAGCAGAGAACTGACCCCTGTAACTTAAACCCTAAGAATTTATTCTTGGAAACCGAAAGATAGGCAACCCTTGGGTAATGCAGTCAATCCATGAAGTTCCCCGAGACCCAGCACTTTCTTCTGCTCTTCCAGCCGCAGTATGTGGTTTCCACCCTTTGGGTCACATCATGGTCCAACATGGCTGCTGAAGCTCCAGCCATCACACACATTCTCAGTCGTGGAAAGAGGGAAAGGGATAAAGGGACCTACTATAGCTATCTCCTTTTAAGAAAAAGTCCCAACTGTCAACTTCTGTATGTCAGTGGCCAGCACTTAATCTCAGGAGGCTGGGAAATAGCCTTTAGTTGGACATATTGCCACCTTGAATAAAACTGGGTCCTGTCATAAGGAAAACAGGGGAAATAGATGCTTGTTGTTTGGTCACTCAGTCTTGTCCGACTCTTTTGTGACCCCACGGACTGTAACCTGCCAGGCTACTCTGTCCATGGGATTTTCCAGGCAAGAATATTGGAGTGGGCTGCCATTTCCTTCTCCAGGAAATAGATATTGGGTGGATATAATTCCAACACAAAAAGATTGTCCCTAGTAAGGAACACCGAGGAGGGTGGAGTCCGGGGAGAAAGGTTTGAGCAGGTGGGTACAGTAGGATGGAGAGTTATATTCTAGAAGCATGTCTCTTGGGTGGAGAGGAGAAAGGGTTTAGAGGAAGGCTTTGGGGAGGCCTAGGCTGGAGCCAGGGCGTGGGCACAGAGTGGTCTCTTGGGGAATGCACCCCCACCCCCACTGACAGACACCTCTCCCCCTCCCCAGCGATCCCCTCCGCGCCCCAGGCCGTGATCTCCAGTGTCAACGAGACCTCACTCATGCTCGAGTGGACCCCGCCCCGGGACTCGGGAGGCCGCGAGGACCTCGTCTACAACATCATCTGCAAGAGTTGCGGCTCGGGCCGGGGCGCCTGCACCCGCTGCGGGGACAACGTGCAGTACGCTCCCCGCCAGCTGGGCCTCACCGAGCCTCGCATTTACATCAGCGACCTGCTGGCCCACACCCAGTACACCTTCGAGATCCAGGCCGTGAACGGCGTCACTGACCAGAGCCCCTTCTCACCGCAGTTCGCCTCCGTGAACATCACCACCAACCAGGCAGGTAAGCGGCTTCGGATGCAGGCTGCCCGGGGCGGCGCTGTGCCATGCTGTGCCAAACAGGTATCCTGCCAGCCCTCGTTAAAGACTCCCTCACTTCTGCAGAGCGCTTTCCGCTTTTCCAAGGCTGTTCATGTGATCCGGCCACCTGGGAGAGTCAGTGTTACCTCTCAGCTATAGTGGCATTTATCATAATCGCTGGCATTTGTTGAGCGTGTATTCTTGAAGACGAATGTAAAGCTGCTATAACAAAAGGGCCTGGTGTTCAGTGGCTTCAAGAACACAGAAGAATGTTTCTCTCTCATGTAAGAGTCCAGGGGTGAGCAGGCCAGGTCAGCAGGGGCAGCTCTGATCCACCTGCAGGTTCAGGGGCCTGGCTTCCTTCTCTCTTGTCTCACTAGCCTCCACGCTCCTCGTCGGCCTGAGCCGCAGGTTTGTCTGCTCTCTAACCTGTACAAATGGGAGAGACAGAAGACCGGGGCAATGGTATGTTTTAAGCAAGGTAGGCAGCAGTGGCGCCTCCCACTCTTGGGCACGGACCACTGGAAGGAACGTGGTCTCGTGGCCTCCCCAAGCTGCCAAGGAGGTCGGGAAACATCATTTCTCCCAGCCTAACTTAAACCTCCATCACAACAGCAGGTGAGGAGACAGACTTCAGTGGCCACCTAGCAGTTTCCACACGTGCCTTTTCTGAACCTTCAGCCCCCTCCAGTCTAACTCCAGCAAAACTCTTCTCCCCAGGATTACCTTCAGTAATCCCTCTGTGACCCCCATGTGCCCACCCCCATCTTCTGCCCTGGTTTCCTTTACAACAAAAAATAGTTGCCAAATGATGCGTCCCATCACCTCCCCTCACCTCCCTTCATCCCCCTTCACTCCACGGCACTCAAGCTTCCAGCCACACCTCTCCACCAAGGCCATTGTCCTCAGGCTCACCTGGGACCTCCAGATGGCCGGGTCCAGGAGACACTTCCCAGTCTCATCCCCATCCAAGGGACACGCAAGATTTTCCAGCATTTCATGGTTCCTGCAGTTCCTTCAGAAGACTGTGGTTGGCCCTCTGAGTGTGCGCCTTAGTAATTTACTCAGCAGTCTTTGCAAGGCCCTGCTGTGAGTGTGGTCTGGGGCCCATCTAAGTGGGGCGAAGGGAGACCAGGCTCCAGGACAGACAGTGAGTGGGCTGGGCATCCAGAGACGGAGGTCCAGGAAGCCTTCCAGGAGGGGGCAGAATTTGACCCGCCGTTTGAAAGACTCACAGAGTTTTGAAGGGCGTGATGGAAACAGATGGGATTTTGAGATGAAGAAAGGGCATGCACATGCACGTGGAAGGAGAGGCGGCAGCCCGCTCCACCTGGTTGAGGGGTGTTTTTATACATGACCTCACTGCCACCCACCCCCCGGCCTCCAGGAGTAGGAGGCATCTGTGTCCCCATTTCACAGATGTTGCTCAGAAAATTTGAGTCACAAAGCTAGGCAGGGTGTGAGGCAGAAATTGACTAGGTCTAACAGACTCCATTGCTCAGCACCATCTAGGGTGCCTCCGAGGAACCATAGACTGGGGGGATCTGATGAGTGTCCATGTGTGAGTGTGCATACTTCTGCTACGTCTGAGCTTGAGTTTGTATGCCTGAGGGTGGCTCAGCCCATCCGTGTGTTTGTGTCGTAGAAGAAGCGTGGCCATGTTTGTGTGCTCGTGGTGTTGCTGGGCCGAGAGGGCACGTTTATGAGCGAATGCTGCAGCCCTTGTAGGTTCGTGGGTGCATTTAAGCCCGCCTCGGATGGGGGTCCGGATGGAGCTGACTCAAGGCAGGCGATCTGAGAAACCCCTCCAACGCCAGCAGCTGTTGGCAGAGACACACGGCAGATTGTGAAGCCTTGGTTCTGAGTCTCTCCAGCTTGACAAAGCCCTTGAGGTAGGGAAGCCCAGGCTCCCAGTGCGGGGTGGAGACGAGGGAACTCTTTTCAACTGGGAGAAGCTAGAAATTCCCCAGAGTCCATGGAGTTCTTTCCCTAGGTGTGCAGGCCTCCCCTGAGACCATTCGGGATCCCCAAGAGTCAAACTGCCTACTTAACAAGGCTCAGCTTGCTAGAAGCAAGGGCTGCTGGAGTGGACCCCTCCTGTCTGGAGCTGGAAGTTCCCAGAGAATAGAGGTGGGGCAGAGTGGAAATGAGGGCCCCAGAGAGGAAGGTGCTGGGGGAGCCCTCGGGATTGAAAGGCAGGAGCAGTCAGTAACAAGCCCTGGGTTAGTCGCAGGGGGACCTGAGTTTGAAACCCAGTTTTGTCATTCCTTTGTTTTGTGACTTTACTGTATTGGTCAGATATTGCTGCGATAATGCTGTATAACAAAACCACCCCCAAACCCAGAATTTTACCATAATAACATTCATTTCCTCACTCACTAGTCTGTGCATCAGCTAGGGTTTATCTAATCTGCACCAAGTCCTTCGAACTGGGCAGAGCTCCAGAATGTGGCTGAATTGGGTCAGTTCCATGTGTCTCCCCATTCCCCTTGGACTAGCACCTCCCTGGGCCTGTTTCTCTTGAAGTAATGGCAGGAATACAAGTGGCCGAGTGATATCAGGCCACATAAATGCATGCCAGTGCCTGTGGCACGGTGGTCCACAGTGAACGCAGCCTGCAGGGCTCCTTGGAAAAGGTGTGGGTGTGAGATCCTGTTACAAGAGGTAGAGCTGAGATCTGCCATCTGACCCATCCCACTCAAGAAAATCACTTCCTCCATTTGGACCTCAATTTCCCCACCAAATTGTGCATCAAAAGTCCATGAGAGGGATTTCTCTGGTGGTCCAAGAGTTAAGAATCTGCCTGCCAATTCAGGGGACACGGGTTCCATCCCTGGTCCGGGAACTAAGATCCCACGTGCCATGGAGCAACTAAGCCTGTGGGCCACAACTGCAGAACCTGCTTGCCCTGGGGCCGTGCTCCAAGACAAGAGGAGCCACTGCAGGGGGAGCCCCCACGCTGCAGTGAAGGGCAGCCCCCACTACTCACAACTGGAAAAAGCCCGCGCACAGCAACGAAGCCAGCTCCGCCAATAAATAAATAATTTTTTTTAATCTATGAAAGCTTTTCCAGAATGCAGGTCCCCTGATCCCACCCCAGACCTGCTGGATCAGAACCCCAGGAATAAGCCCTGGGAATCAGCACTTTTCACAAGTGGCTCAAGTGTTTCTTACCATTAGATTTGGGAGGGTAAAATTTAAGTGAATCCAAACCCCTGCTGATAAAGGTCTGTATAGTCAAAGCTATGGTTTTTTCTAGTATTCATTTGTGGATGTGAGAGCTGGACCATCAAGAAGGCTAAGTGCCAAAGAATTGATGCTTTTGACTTGTGGTGTTGGAGAAGACTCTTGAGAGTCCCTTGGACTGCGAGGAGATCCAACCCAGTCCATCCTTAAGGAGATCAGTCCTGAATATTCCTTGGGAGGACTGATGCTGAAGCTGAAGCTCCAGTCCTTCGGCCACCTGATGCAAAGAGCAGACTCACTGGAAAAGACCCTGATGCTGGGAAAGATTGAGGGCAGGAGGAGAGGAGGGTGACAGAGGATGAGATGGTTGGATGGCATCACCGAGTCAATGGACATGAGTTTGAGCAAACTCCAGGAGACAGTGAAGGACAGGGAACCTGGCGTGCTGCAGTCCATGGGGCCGCCGAGTTGCACATTACAGCAACTGAACAACAACAAAGCCCCTGAAGCTCCTGAAGCCCTGGGGCTTTCTGGGCCATAACCGCTCTTTCCCCATCCTCTTTGTTCCAAGCCCTGGGACAAGCCCCACTGTCTCTCAGGCATCCAGAGCCCAGCTGAGGGCTGTGCAACCACACACACCCTCACCACATCCTCCCCTTCTGCCAGAGGAGGAAACAGGCCCAGAGAAGTGGAGCCATTTATGCAAAGTCCCACTACTAAGTGGCCTCAACTAGGGTTTGAACCCAGAACCGTCTGACTAGAAGTCTACACTGGAGAAGACATGGATCCTGCCATTGAAGATTTCTGCTGTGGTTGGGAAGATGAGACCTGGATGTAGCTTATGTACGATAAGGCATGAATGAGGACGCAAGGAGGAGTCTGGGAGGTGATGAAGAAATCATTTCCTCCTAGGGAATGGGAGAAAGGCATGCCATGAAAGGCTTCCTGAAAGTGGAGGCATTTGAGCTTATCTTTGAAGAATGAGGGGGGACCTTCCCTGGTGGCTCAGACAGGTAAAGGAGCTGCCTGCATTATAGGAGGTCCAGGTGCAATCCTTGTGTTGGGAAGATCACCTGGAGTAGGAACCCACTCCAGTATTCTTGCCTGGAGAATCCCATGGACAGAGGAGCCTGGCGGGCTAGAGTCCATGGGGTCACAAAGAGTCGGACACGACTGAGCTGCTAACACTTTTACTTTCTTTGAAGAATGGAGAGGCTTCTAACAGACAGAGATGGATTCAGGCAGGGAAGAAGGTATCCTGGGAGAAAAAAGTACAGGAGGCAAACTGGAGGGGAATTCTCCTTTGTCTTCCTCTGAGGCACTAAGCTCCTCTGCCACAGGACCTTTGCACATGCTGTTCCCACTGCTTGGGATGCTTTGCGCCTTTCCCCCTTCCTTTTGACCTTAGCTCATCTTCATTGACCATCTGACTCGGTCACATGCCCCCAGCACCACAGCCCTCAGCTTCCTGTGGCTGAGATTTTTAGTCTCGTGTCTGTGATCATTTCGTTCCTGTCTGTCTCCCCAGCGTCAGTACTTGGCAGTACACTATGGGTCTCTTCCCCTCACTGTGGTTTTCCTGATGCCTAGATGGGGGCACACCACAGTGTGTGCTTCATGAGCAGCTGCCAAGGGGTCTAGAAAAGCGTGGAGTGAGGAGAGGCGTGGAGAATTCCGATGATGCTGGAAAATAAGGCCGGAGACTGGATTTCCAGACAAATGCATTCAGTGCTCGGTTTTAATCAGACCCTAAAATTCAATATATAAATAGCTAACTCATGGCCTTAAAAGGAAAAA